GGAGGAACAAAAGCACACGCTGATTGTTATTCCGCGTTAGGAATGCTGATCCTGGTTGGGTCTCTCCCAGTCCATTTGTCAGCGTGTCCTATTAGGTTTCCAAACAGCTTGTAATGACTGGTAATAAACTGCAGAAGAAGAGGAAGGTAAATCAAGCGAGGAGACGACAAAATGAGCTCTCCGGGGGACCACCATCCTCCGAGCCTTCAAAACACAAACACACAGACGGGGGGAAGAAAGAAGCTCCAAACGATTCTGTTCCCGGATTCAAACGCAGCCGATCCTGCCAACAGCGCCAGTTATCGTACAGGTCACAGTCTGACAGATGTACAGGAATTCATTACGGAAATTTGTGTTTGGTTCATCAGATCTTTATTCCAGCAATGCTTCTTGGAAATAAATTTGTTTATTTGCTCTCAAATGACATTTGTGAGGAAAATGAGGCTCAATTTGAGCATAAAACACTTATTAAAGCCTCCCTGTCAATGCTAAACAGCTTATTCTGCTACTGAATTGGTTAATCTGGACAAAAAGAGATATAATTTAACAGTTTCTACATTAACACACAGTGCCTGAAGTAACGTTTGGGAGAACCGTACAGCTAAGCCTGTTGCAATCAGTTAATCACATGATAAAGTAACATGAGTTTGATCATTTACTTCTAATTATTAATATTTTTTGAAAGGCAATTTTGCTTACAGAGACTTCATGCTTTGTTTTATCTATGGTTTTGATTGTGTGTGGTATTTATTTCTTCTTTATTTATTGTTTTTCATTACAAAATTAAAGTTTGAGAGGGAACATCTTTGCTACTCCTGTAAAGTAAAAATCAATAACACTCAAAACTGTTATTAACAGCCAAAACACTAATATTGTATAAGCAAATTACTGTTAATAATTGTAGGCATATTAGAAGAGTTGGGTAGTAACTATTTACACTTACTTGTGTAACTTTTTTTTAAATATATACTTTTGCTATACTGTACTTTTTGCTTTTGCTTCAGTAATTTTATTTTAAAGTATTTCTACTGTTACTTGAGTAAAATTTCTGGATTTTCTACCCATTGAATGAAAAACAAACAGGTTTTAACCAAAAATTCATCAGACACAGACACACACCTACAGTTTTTGTTTAAGTTTCATAAGTTTTTTATTCAAAGAAACTGATTTGGAACATTTTTATTTTGCCTTATTTTGTTATTTTTTGTTACTTATATGAATTATGGTCATTTTCATTCTGAAAATACCAAAAATTTCCACTTAACTTTATATTTTGGTCCGTCTGATTATATATTTTTTAAATATTAGATGATTGATAATTTGATCAGTTACTCAGTACTTGAGTAGACTTTATACCAAGTACTTTTACTCTTTCTTGAGTAATTTCTTGGACGGCTACTTTTTACTTTTATTTGAGTAAAAATATGTTGAAGTAGTTCTACTCTTTCGTGAGTATAATTTTTGGGTTTTCTAACCATCTCTGTATATTGGATGCATAGTGTCGCCCAGGAATGATGAAGCATCTGGTGTTGATATGTTAGTATGGGGGCCCTGAATCAAAATCTGCCTACGGCCCCAAAAAGGCTTTGACTGGCCCTGAACTTATGTTTCTACTAACACTTTGTTTTCTTGCCATTGACAGGAATTTAATTATTGTTTATCTGTTTCTGTCTTAGTTTTGTGCTGTTTCTTTTTGCTTTCAGAATTGTGTTTTTTTTTCTTTTTTGACCAAATTAAATCAACTTTTAGAACAATGTGATGCCAACGATGACATGAATTTGGTTTGTAAGATAATTTCATCTTCTTGTTCGATTTAATTGACTGAAGATCCTTGGTTTGCTTCTCCATCCAGCCCTCCCTGCTCCCCTGTTTTTCTCCGTTCCTCCAGTCCCCTGCCCCTCCATCATCACTCCCTCCTTCCCTCTGGTGTCACAGCTCGCTGGCTCCAGGTGGTGAGGGAGGAAGGGATGCAGGGAAGGATGGATGGAGGGAGGGATGAAGACAGGAGGAGGGGGTGGCCGTCATCTGTTCCCGTGTTCATACCATCAGAGTGCGACCCAACACCCTGCCTCAGTCTGTTTTATTAACATTAATATTAATACTGGCCTCAGTCACATCTTACCCTGCAAAAATACAAGCAAAACAACAGATTTTCTTACTATTTTGTAAGTCTGTTTAAGGAAGAAGTTATTTAGACCAAAACTATATTTATTTATTTATGCGTTTTCAAACATCCCAGAATGACCCAATTTGGACTTGTTTTGGTCGTTTGGAGATTAAATGTGTTGAAAAACTTCAGACACAACAAGGAACTAAAAATTAAAGTTTCAAATGTGATGCGTTTGTTTTCTGATCACGATGGGATTAGTTGCTTTAAAAAAAAAGTGCTAGTTCCATTTAGGCTTGTCAGAATAAACAATAAATCAATTAATTGCATGATAAATTAAAACGAGCCTAGTTGTTTTCTTGATTTTTTCTACCAAAACCAAGAAGACAAAAGTCTTCAGTCTGGACCACTTGATAAATCTGGTCCATTTTTTGAAGGGCAATTTAGCGAGGTTTGAAAATCCATTTATTTGAAGTTTCTGTTGTTATATTAATTTGTTTTGGATATTTAAAATGTCTTCCAGTTCCAGTGTTAAATGTTCATTAGATTTTAAAGTTTGTTGATCATTGAGAATGTGTTCTTGCATTATTATGCCATGATAAATATATCACATGAAAGCTGCCTAAAACAAGAATATCGCTTATTCCATGTGGAGATGCAACAGCAGCACCAGCGGTTTCCCTTCTGTCAGTGGTCATAATGTTACGCCTGATTGGTGTAAATCTAGGAAACCAGCTGACTCCTCCCTCTCCCCCCACAGACAGGCTGAGTTATGCTGCGTTTGTTTCTGCTGCAGAGTCTGATCTTCCACACCAACAGCAGAGCAGCCACCGTCTTATTAGCTGGAGTGCAGCAGGGCAGAAACGAGAAGCCATGTTTGTAGCTGGTGGCCAACACACACACACACACTCATACATGAGTGGGCCTTAAACCACATTATCCACCTCCACTGACTCTAAAAGCTTCTTATTCGCCTCATTAAGTCTTCAGTGACACAAAGTAAGCAGACCAAAGCCGCATCAACGTACGTACCGATAGGTGTGTGCACTTAGCGGCGCGCGCAGACACACATCGGCTCAGCCACCACCCGCGGGACCGCTGCTTAGACAGCACACCGACATTAGCAGTCGGGCGCATCACAGATTTGACTGGAGGCTAATAGAAAGCAAAAAAATGCAACCTCCAGGTACAAAACAAAAAAGCAAACAGAGATGATTCGATGCCTGATAAAGTCAGACTCCAGGGTCGCAGAGCAGCTGATTCTCAGGAGGCTGTTTGGGGTTTTAGGCAGAAATTTGCTCCGTTACTCCAAAAGCGAACGTCAGAAACATATGAGGAATGTGAGTTCCAGTTATTATTGTGCACTGATCTAAATAGGTAAGTAAAACTCATGCTGAGGACACATCATTAGCCACCACAGTCCATGGGGAGCACTTAGATACAGGTGAGTGGCCACTCGATACCTCCAAGGCAGCTGTGTGCACGTGTGTGTGTGTGGGTGTGTGTGTGTGCGTGTATGAAGGACAATGGAGCATGCAGCCAGCAGCAGGGATCGGGTAAATGGGGAGGTGAGGGGAGTTAAGTGTGCAAGATGTGTCACATTAAAATCTCTGTCTCTTTAAAACAATTTCAGGATGTATTCTGCAGGAATCTGCTGACTGCACACCATGCAATCTGGATTTTACGACAATCTGGATTTTATCTGAGTTTCTTTTTAATAGTTTGTGCTCCTCATTCCTTTGCATTTTCTTTCCAAGCAGTGGATCAGAACTGAAGTTCTCCAGGATTTCTGAGCTGTTTCTATTAGGGATGCAAGTTATCGATTAATGAGTTAATCTGAAGTTGATTTGTCTTATCTATCGATTAGCAATTATTTGATAAGCAGCCATTTTCTGGAAAACCTGAGTTTTGTCTTGCAAAAACAAAATTCTCACCAAATAATTTTTGGTATAGTTTCTACTGCAAATATCTTGGTGCATTTAAAGTAAGACAAAATGAGATTGCAAATAACTTTTTACCAAGATATAGGAGCTTGTTTTAGGTCAATAGTCCCTTAATATTGATGAAAAAGTTCCATTGGCAGGTTATTTCACTGAGAGGAAGGGAAAATGTCTTGTTAAAAGTTAAATAATCTGACAATGGAACGTTTTCATTAATATTAAGGAATTATTGGCTTAAAATAAATTCCCACATCTTCCTGAAAAGTTTATTGTAAGTTATTTTTGCTTTATTTCAAGTGTATTAAGATCTTGTTCTAGAAACTAGATCAAAAATACTTAGTGAGATTTTTGTTTTTGCAAGACAAAACTCAAATTTGTGTTTTTGCAGTGAAAAGAGTTGACTGTATTACCCTAACAAAAAAGAATAAACAGTTTATAATATGTTGGATAAAATAAAAAAAATAAAAAAAACCTTGTGAAACTGAAGGAGCTTGTTGAGTGTTTATATTGCTAAACAAAACCACACAAAGTGCATTTTGCATCCCACACCGGACTCTGTTTGGACCTTTTTTTCTTTCCCATTCTGGTATGGCCCCACCATCTTTGTTTCTGTATCAACTGGCTCTGCTTAGAGATTGCCAGCTGCGCCCTCCTCTGGGTGGAGGCCAAACTGCAACACTGAAATAAGATCTAAGCGGATGTTATTAGTGAAACGATCAAATTCTAATCTGATAAACCATAAGTGACAATTAATCATAAGTTAATTTATTGTTTGCATCCCTAGTTTCATGGATTTGTCTGCTTGGTATGAAAATGTAAAGAAGAAATAAAGGTGTGGTAAAATTTTCTGCATTTTCTTTATAGGAGGGTAATGTTCATGGTGATGAGCAGGCAGAGAGACAGCAGCGCTGCCTCGCTCACAGAGTGAGCTAATAGACAGAAAGCGGACAAACCTTGCTGACAGGTGGGCTCGTCTATGGCCATCCAAGGTGGGGATGGGGGAGAACGGAGGAGAGAATGACCAGGATTAGTATAATGTGCTGTGAATGAGGTGGGAGGGGAGAGGAGGAAGCAGTTACAGACAACGCAGCTCACCAGTCAATCAGGGAAAACATTTTTCATCGTTACGCTGAAGAAAATAAACAACTAACACACTGCTGGTCATGTTTTGTTATTCTTTTGTTGGCTTTAGGGTGAAATGTGTGTTTCTTGAGTCTTCAGAGCTACTTTTTTGTATTTATTCATGCAGAAATCAAAGTATTTTTTCAAACAAAAGCAAAATGATCCATGCTTTCGAGTTTTAATTTACTCCTTGTTTATCTGGGACATAAACGAGAGAATCAGAATAACAACTGTTAGCCTATTATTAAGTGTTTAAAGCCTGTTAAATAGAAGCTTCCAATCAAGTTTACAAAATGTTTTACAAATTCTCCGTAGATGTTAAATAAAGTCAGGCTGTGGGTCTTTGGTTCGGGTTTTGGGTCTGATCTCAGATGATTTTGATCTGAGGTTAGGTGATTCCTACAGCAAAACTAGCTGAAATCCAACATTACTGATTATAAGAACCAATAAGGGAATAATAAATGTAAAAAACAGATTAAAAAAAATGGTTTCATGGATAAAGTGAACATCTCATTTTGAGCAACGGAACTGTTCTGTTTGTGCTTCTAAATGTGTCGTTTTCATGCTGTGAAATCTTAACCGAGGTGATTAACAAAGCATTAGCGGCCGCATGCAACATTTCAAACCTGCTGTTGACGACTTTATTTAAGGGAAATGCATGTGTTCAGTGCATCATTTCAAACAGCTTCTGACACAACAAGGCTTTAAAAACCAACAGCCCATTTTCGCTTCCTGACTGTCGTCCAGGAAACAGAAGCAACGCACATTCGGTGATCCGTCTCACCGCCTCACACCGTCACACAGGGAGGGAACTACTTCATGATGTGCAGCTGCACAGCAGAAAACAATAAAGGCTGCCAGAAATCACTGCGACACAGTCCGGAGAGACGCAGGAACAAATATACATGTTCATACGGTGACAGGGAGAGGTGAGAGGAGAGAGGAGAACGAAACATATCAGCGCGCTGTGTCGCTACCCCAAAAGAAAATCTATCAAATTTAGGAGAGCAGATGATGAAACTGTTACAGCTGCTGCTCTGGAAAATTAGCTGATCTGTTTCAGCAGCTGCAATATGCAAAAGAATAAAAAAAACTGCATGTCTCGTTCATTTTCACAGACTACGTCCATCAATGTCTGTAGAGCACCTTCGTCTTCTCCTCTTCCTCTCATCCAGTAAAGTCCAGGAACCGCTCGGTCGTCCAGAACCCAAACAAACCCAACCGTTCATGATTTATAATTATTACTGCTGCAGCTATAACTGCACTGAAAAACACAAAATTTCAAAGTATTTCTGATCTGGTTTCTAGTGAAAATCTCTCAGGACACTTGAAGACAAAACTAACTTTTCAGGAGGAAATGGGAGCTTATTTTAAGTCAATAATTCCTTAATATTGATGAAAAAGTTCTATTTATAAGACAAATAATTTTCCAGTGGAACAAGACAGCTTTTCCCAAATACAAGTTATAGTAATATGGGTAGATTACTACTGGTAGATTATTTCCTATAGTTCTTTTTCATCAATATTAAAGAATTCTTGACTTAAAACAAGCTTTTATTTATGGTTGAAAAGTAACTTATAAGTTAGTTTTGTCTTAATTCAAGTGATATTTGCACTAAAAACTAGATAAAAATACTTGGTAAGATTTTGTTTTGCAGTGTAAACATGTTCTATTGTTTATTGTAGCCATAAATGCAGAGAAATGCCTCGTTGTTTGTTTGCTAATGATAATTAAATAGATGTTTGCTGCAAACAAGAAGAAGTATATTCCACAGATTTCCAAAAGTGTAATTGAAACCTGATTTAGCTGCAGGTAGAAATTACTTTCTCGATCCAAGAAGTCCAGAGTGAACAAGTGTAGAAACACAGGAAGAAGCAAAGTGTCTCAGAAAAGAACAAAAAAAATTAATTGAAACTTTTATAATAAAAACTTGGTTCAGGAACAGATTTTTTTTTGCTCATTTTGCTTCTTTCAACCTTCCTGCCTCCTTCCCCTCCTGTGGCTGAGCGGCTCTTCTCTCCTGGTTTCGGAGCAAAGGCCTCATGGTGCTTTAATTAACATCGGAGCCGGAGGTAGGGAGAACACACACGGGGCGTGACGGTCCAATCAGGGGGAATCTGAACTGGGAACCAGCAGCAATTTAAGGACCCCACTTTGAAGATGAAGTGAGATCAGTGTGTGGGCCCTTGATCATCAGAATAATTCAGAATAAATATAACACTGAGCAAAAGTTTTAAACCACCTTCTGTTTCTTTTTTTTTCCTGTTTCATTCAGGAAACCCGGAAGAACAAAAGATCAGGAAAAGTTTACAGGAAAACCGTTCGGATCAGATGGAAAAAAGAAAAAACTGAGAGACGATTAAAAACTTTTACACAGAAGCACAAGGTATTAGAGTTATCAGAAAATTATATATAAAAGTTATTTGAGGTATTGTTGACATAATAAAGGAGATTTTAGCCTAAGTAAATGTTTGTGATCCATAAGCAAAATTAGATTTCTGCCTCTAAATAATTCTTCTATTTCAATTTTTGAGTAGGATGATGATGAGAAAAGTAGAATAATACATTACATTTGTGTCAAATCAAAGTTCAAATACATCTAGTTCATCAAAAAATATGGATTGGAGAATTAAAATATAATCTTTTATTATTCATGTTGATTGGATATTATTGAGACAGATTTTTGGGATGCAGTTACTTTCCAGGGTCACTTACAAAATGGACTTTTTGCATCTAAAAGACGTCTTTATTATTTTTTGTTTTTTAGAGACATGGTGACGAGTAAAATGGAGGAGAATAAATCTAGAAATAAATTAGTTGGTCAAAAAAGTGAATAAGGGAATAAAAATAAGTTCTGATATTCATCCTCTATGATTTGTGTCACTTAGTTGGTTGTGATGGTGTAACTAAAAGAACCATGAGGAGGTAGATGTAAGGCTGGAACAGGGGAGGCGTTAACCAAATATTTTTTAAAATAGTGACTGAAGGCCAGCAGTCATTTTGACAAACTGTAATTCACACACCTGACTAGACTCCATGCATCTCGCTACCTGGGAGCTAACAGCACGTTATGGAGGCTTTGGAGCAGCTAAACCGCTGCTGCAGGATAGAACAGAAAACCTGCAGAACAAGAAACTCATCTTTCAGAGAGTTTTACCGACTCCTGATCACTTCAGTTGGAGAAATGTTCCCCGATTTCAAAACTGCAGATTCTCTGTTCAGTTTGTTGTATATTAATTAAACCGAATGAAAATTAAATACTGCTGAATATGTTATTATTTCAAAAATTGATACATAAAAAGAGATTATGACAATGATTTTATGACAGACATTTTTCACTGAGCGAGAAAAAATTGAGGCGAATCGGTGAAGCAGAATAATGAGCAGAACTGGACCAGATCAGAAACATTCCCACCATGAAGTTGTTGCATCTTCTGCACCATTATACCAGCATACAAACATAAACACACACAGCATTCCTGCCAAGCTGGTGAACCAATTAACTTTTAACTGCATAAAAATAATGTGTCTGAAAGGAAAATACCAAAATTGCATTGTTTGCATCAAGAGCTGAATATCTAGACTTATATAAACAGTCTGTAGCTTTGCTCTGAATTATCCTCCTGAAATCCCAGACTAAAAGACATCCCAGCTATCTGAAGATGGTCTGAAGCTTACTAGATGTTTTCTGGTATTTCTACATCATAACTTACTTTTTTAACCTTTTGACCCTTAGTTAGTTTTGTGTTGTAAATGAAGCTGCACATTAATTTCTGCTCATAACATCAACTAAAAGTTCCTTGCAGCCGAGAGAACAAAAGGACTTGATAATTAACGTCTTCCTCTTTCAGGTTTAATAATTCCCTTCATTAGCATTTCCAGGTCAAACACAGTTTTCCTCCTCACCCAGAAAGTAGCAGGAAAGCACCTGAAACAGGACTTCAGGAATTAGGAAGCATCTCAGCAAAGTAATGCTACAAAAAGACTGACAAGCATTTTCAGTAACAGAGGTTCTGTTTATTTATATATAAAATCCATCCACCCAGCCATGATAATGGGGTCATGAACATTTTGACAATAATAAGTCACACCTTAGAAAAGCTTTCAACCAAAAATGGTTTCTAACACTACATGTTATTAACTTTTGTGCCCAAAGTTATTTTTTGTTGTTAAAAACAAATATGGCAGCAGCAGTTCTTCCTCTGTCTCGTCTTCCAACTAACGTTAACTTTTACTGAGTTTCAGTTTCCGTCTTTTTCTGTAATTCGAATAAGCTCCAAAAAGAACTGGTTCACCAACAGCTTTTTACTATTCATAGCAATACTGCAGCAATTATGGGAGACCTGATAATACCTAAAATCCCATCTGGTGTGTGTGTGTGTGTGTGTGTGTGTGTGTGTGTGTGTGTGAAGTAAGAGGTTCTGCAGCTGCATCAGAGCCGACTTGGAAAACTCAGACACACACACTCGCAGCCCCTCGGAGTGCATCAGCGCCTCTACCTGTCAGGTGTGTGTGCATGAGTTTGCGTGTGCGTGTCTGTGTGTGTGTAGGGGGGGCGAGCAGAGCATTTTTTCCTCCAGAACAACTCGAGAGTCCACCTCGTTAATCTCCATGACGACAGGGATGCTAAGGCAGCAAATTAGTGGTGAGCAGAGAAAAAAATAATAAGAGTCCCGCAGGAGGTTTCTAACAGAACATCCAAGCCACAAGGAAGGTTTTAGCTTAACTTGTGCTGCTCGGCAACAATGAGAGCAAAACTTTAGAGCCTTTTCCCACAATTAATCAAGTCTCTGAAAGTCTGTGCACTTATATTGCTTAATGCAAACGCAACCTAGGCAACAAATAAACACAACAACCGAGGAACAAATCAACTCCTATTAGCATCTGAGGTGAAAACATCAACAATTTCAACCTCTCAGAAGGTAGAAGATGAACAGCAGCTCCATCGCACAACCAACAAATGACAAATAGCCAGTTTGTCTGTTCTGAACATGTATGAGTGTGTTGCATGTGCTTTCAGGGGAAAATATTCGCATTGGAGCGCCACAGAACCAACACGGAGATGACGCAACGCCAGAACACACACGTTAAAAAGAAAGCAGTTTTACTCACCGATCATGTGATTAGCCACGTGGATCTGGATCTCTCTTTCCGTCTCAAACGTCATTTGGCATTTAATACACTGGTAGGTCTTTTTCTAGAATAGAAAACACAAAAGACACCAATCAAAATGAGTCACATTTCTGCAACAAGGTGGTTCAAAGTGCTTACAGTTTCACAATTATGAAACAAGCGATAAACATGACATTCAGTCAAATGTCATCAAAATCACCAAGCAATAATGCGTCAAACATGTTGATCAGTGTTCCAATTAGGCAACTGTAACCAGGCGGGTTTTAGTCTTGATTTAAAGGAAGACGGTGTTTCGGCTGGTTAACAGTTTTCTGGTAGTTTGGTCCAGATTTCAGGTGTAAATCTTGAACAAAGATTTGTCCAAACATTTGCGTGACTGGTTTTTGCGCTCCGATGAGGTGGTTTTTCGAACACTTGTTGCACATCACACGAATCATGTGATCAACAAGCAGAAGTTACTGCTGGTGGAAAAGATGAAGAAAAGATCACAGGAAGTGGTAGGAGGATTATGACTTATCGTGTGAACCAACGTATTCACGTGTGATTTTTATTGCATTTCTTATTTAATGGAAAAACCACAACTGCAAAATTATTAGTGGAATATTGATACAATTTTACACACATCTATAATGGGAATGCAGCTAATCCAACTAAAGATAAACACATGGACGACTTAGTTTCTCTAGATCTTGCTGTGACATTAGTCCTTTAATCCTGGAAATGTTCTTCAGATGATAGAAGGCCGTCTTTGCAACTGTCTTTATGTGACTCTGAATGTTCAGGTCAGAGTTCATCACAACAACCAGATTTCAGCCCGATCTCTAGTTTCTAACTGTGATGACTGAAGCTGAAAACAAAACATAGCAGCTAACCAAGATCATAATAAAACAAGGTAATAACTCTGCGTTTTGCCCCTGTTTTGGTTGTAATTGTTTTGATAAAAGTTTGGGGGGAAAAACAATGTTTCAGATGCTCAACAGCTGCAGAAACAGCGAGAAATAAAGAATAATAATAATAATGTAATGAAAACATTTAGGAAAGATGACTGAACAAAAGAGAGAAAGAAAGATGCAGAAAATCCAGGATGAGTCACAGAAATGAGAGCTGAGGAGCAGCTCTGCTTATCCATTCACTGCACACAGCGATCACTCATGCACAAACACATACAAAATACACAAAGGCCCCACTTCCACTTTCCCTCTGCTGCTTCACTCTGCTACAGTCACTACACACACACACACACACACACTCAGAAAATCCTACTTTGTCTGCTTTGTGCTGTTAGACTAAGCAGAAACAAAGGTGTAGGTAAGACAGGGAGTCCCTGGGAACTGACACACACACACACACACACACACACACACACACACACACACACACACACACTCAGAAACACAGCGGCAGGTCCCGGGGAGCCTGACTGTCAATATCAAGTTGAGTGAACAGCTCCCACAATGCAGCAGCACAGCCCAGCCGCAGGAGCCGCTGGGGCCCGGCTGACACACGCAACGCCGTGCGCACACACATCCGCTGCGGGAACACACAGCAACGCCCGACACAAACACAAACTGTCTGCCGCTCTCCCAGAAACGTCTCCATCTGCTGACTCCTGCTCACGTATCAAACACTGCACGGGAGGGATTCTGCTGAGAGGTTACCGGCAACAAACATCTTACCAGCAGAGGATAATTCGTACGCTGCAGAAGAGGATGAGGATCAAAGGAGAAAAAGGAAGATTTTTGACTTTTTTCTCCAAATTCTGACTTTAATCTCTCAATTATTACTATTTTTCTCAGAAATGTGACCCTTTTTTTCCAGAATTCTGATTACAAGTTCAGAATAATGATTTTTTTTCTGTCATTTTTACCTTAACCTCAGAATTATGAGAAGAAAGACCAGAATTCTAACTGTAATTCTCCACAGTTTCCGTCTCACCTTGGGTGCAGGCGAAGCCTCGGCCTTCTTTCCCGCTGCGCTGGTTTCGGGGCTGACCTCAGGGTGATCCGTCTGGACGTGACTCTCCAGATCCTCGACGCTTTCAAACTTCACGCCACACTCCGGACACCTCAGCCCGGTCAGGGCCTTGTCTGCTGGAGTGTCCCCCGGCGTCACTGCTCCTCCGCTCTGGCTGGGACTCTGGCCGTTCGTCCCCCTGAGTGGATTAAACATCATATTATAACATGAAAAATGGCGGTACTTAGCAAAACAGACGTAAGAATGCTAATCTGATGAAAGATATGGTGACATGTCTGCAGGAAGAGTTTGAGAGAAAACCGTAAAACCTACTTTAATGACGCATATATTTTCTCAAAACAGATACTCATGCGTACGTTTTGATGCATAAATTATTTCTCTAGAGTGAAATTTGTACGAACAGCAGCATTTTGTTTGTGAAAAATCAGTAAAGTGTCAGTGACTAGAGGGCGCACTGTCAGGTGAAGAATTCCTTCATTACACTGTAAAACTGAAAACCCTCCAAAATCTGATAAAACTGAAATAGCGATTTTAGAAAAACCGTAGGAGATATCAAAAAGCCGAATCATTTCAAGATAGACTAACATCTTGTGACTAGCGTAAAACTTGAATGGAGTTTCTAGGTTGAAGTAGGCAGAAGTAGTAGCTTGTGAAACGGCACAAAGTTTTTGCTAAATTTTGTGAAATTCCAAAGAACTTCAGTGCATTTCAGTTGAGCCAAAATTTGCATGAAAGTTGAAATAGTACAAAAAGTATAAAAGATGAAAATACAAAAAAATACATGAGAATTCTCCAGAAAAAGCTGAACATTTCGACATATAAATAGTTGAAATCAGTTGAAGTATGAAGAACTGATTATGCACAGAAAATCGTACAGAAGACGGAATAACAATCAAGAGAAATAACATCTTAAGAAGTGAGAATGCTTGAATTCTCATTTGATTTATAGTTAAACTGGGTTGGTGATCTCCCTTCCTACCTGCTCATGCAGCTGGCACACAGGCCGTAAGGCAGCCCGTTGACGTCCAGCTTCACCAGATCCCCTTTATTCTTGAATTCCTTCAAGCAGAAGGCGCATTTGTAGAGCTTGTGCGGCTGCAGCTGCCCGTTGGGGGACGAGGAGGCTGAGCCGTTGCCTGCGCCCACTCCGCCGTTGCCGCCTCCGACTCCCCCCAGCGCCGATCCAGAGGAGAGCTTCTGCATGTGGAAGGTGCCGTGGATCTTCAGCTCCAGCGTTGACGTGACGGTCTGCATGCAGACGACGCAGCGGAAGCCGGTGAGCGAGTTGCGAAGGTCGGGGTGCATCTGGCAGTGCTCTATGAACTCCTCCTCGCTCTGCAGGGGCATCTTGCAGATCCGACAGGTTCCTGTGTCCAGGCTTTTACTGTGGGTCACCTGGAGGAAGAGTGACCCACAGCATGCAGACAGAAGGTCAGAAAACAGAAACTATTATTAGATTGGAGAAATCCAGGGCTGGAAGCTTTCACACTGCACTGAGTCAAACAAACCCAACTAATTGTAAACATGTTCCCATCCTTGCCTGTGGGGGTGCTGCACCAAGAAGGAAACAACAGAAACCTCTGAAGAAGACACTGAGAGCAGCGTCCTTCTTCAGAAAACATAAGTGGCGTCAGATTTTAATGATTGTAGGATTTCTCGTTTGTCATTTCTCCCGCTATCGTTGGACTCTTGTGTTTGTTTTGGTTGGACAGTACAGGGCTGGTGTGAATGCAGCCTAAAACATGTCTGGCCAATCTGATGGGAAAGTCATCAGACACTTGTCTGAAATGTCATTAATAATAATATGTATCCATCTCAAAAATTCAGCCACTAAATAAAACCTTTAAAAAGTTAGTATGAGGAAAATAAACAGTTTAGAGCTGGTACTGCAACCTCTCAGCATTCTTCAATAAGGAAACAAACATTTACTGGACTGAAACACAGACCCAGAGCTGCAGATCAGTTTGTACCTTGTGTTCAGTGAGAGTCAGCAGAGACGGGAAGCGCTCCCCACATATGGGACACATGTAGTGTTTGGCGGGGCCGCGGTGCGTCTGAGCGTGCTCACGCAGCCCGCTCTCAGAGAAGAACGTCCTGGAGCACACGTTGCACTTGTGGTTCCCTTTGATGAAATCTGCCTTCTTCTTCCTGGAACCTGGAAAACAGAAAGAAACAAAAAAAATAATAAAAATCTGATCCTGTACAAACAATATATATCGCACTAAACACAAGATCAATATCAGTAGACAACACATGAGGGAGAATAAGCAAAAATTTCACTGAAGGTTGGTAGAATCAACTAACTCTCATTCTCCTTGGTTACCTAGCAACTCAGTCCTTTTTTGGTTGCCTAGCAACAATGTGTGGCGTGACTGGCGCAGCAGCACTTTAAGATTCCGTCATGAAAATAAAAGAAAACAACGGTGCAGTGTGAAAACGTTGGATAATAAAGGAAAGGTTACGCCACCAGTTAGGCTGCATTTCAGATATTTAAAACAAAAAATGAACCAGTAATTATCAATATGGACTCATATGAAATGATTCAAGGATATTTCTTCTCCAATTTTTTGTAAAAATAACATTTTTACAAAAAATAACATTTTTACAAAAGATTTTAATTGCATTTATTGGTTGAAGGCTTAAGAATCTGTTTTGACTTGATGAGGTGAACTCAGGGAAGAACAATTGTAGAAACTGCAACAAAGTGGAAATTTTTTTTAGCTATTTCTAAAAAATAAAAAAAACTGTCTTAATACACGGGAAAGCTAACTTACATTTCTCATCTAATGAATCACTGACTTCAATCAAGCTCCTATATCTTGTTGAAAAGTCACTTTTAAGTTCTATTTTAAGAATATTGAGACTTTCACTACAAACTAAGCCAAAATGACTTTGTAGCATTTTACATTTCGTCCAGCCCTCCCACCTGGACGGCAGCTTTACCTGCGTCGTCTTCTCCTGGCCGGATGTTGTGGTCCCGCAGCCGGTGGTTCTGCAGCAGCGACTCCATGGTGTATGCCGCGCCGCAGATGTCGCAGGCGTACATGGGCTCGGAGTTGTCCAGCTCCTCTTCTCCGCCGCTCGCCTCATGACTGTTGGCCGTGTCGCCTGCCTGCGACGACCCCCCGCCCCCAACCACCCCGCCCTTCAGCAGGATGTTCTGCAGGTCGGCCTGTTCGGCGGCCGCCACCGTCGCTCTCTCTGCTGCTGCCGCCGCGCCGCTTCCTGCTCCTCCCCGCTTGGAGGTCTGAGCCAGGCCGTTGGGCGTCCCGTTCTGACTCCCACTGCTGCCGGTGCCACCGCCGTTGCTGCCGTCGAAGATACAGTGCTTCTCCCGCAGGTGTCTCTCGAGCAGCGAGATGGCGTGGAAAGCTTTGCCGCAGAAGCGACAGGTGAACTTCTTGCTGTGGGTGGTGATGTGACACTGGAGCTCCACTTCTGTTCCGAACGTTTCCCCACAGAAGATGCACTTCCGAGGCTTCAGCCCTGCAGGAAGAAACACCTCGTTAACGTCAAAACTATGATTACTGTGCGCTGTTATGTTTTTTCTCTACTCTCAGCCCATGATAGGAAAGATTTCAGAATCCAGAATGCTTTAAAGGTGACTTGTTACGCTTCCTTGAACAGGTTAGGACAGGTCTATGGTCTAGGCAAAACATGTTCATTTTAATTTTTGTACAAAATTATTCTTAGATAATGAGATTTTATTCTACTTGGTTCTGCATATTCTGAGCTGTTTTAGGGCGTCTGTCACTTTACATTCAAATAAGCTGCTGCTGGTTATGCCGCCAAACTCAATGTTTACATTCACATGTGAAAATGGCTGCAGACAGATGTGCAATTATGTAACCGTACATCTTTGAAAAGCAGAAGTGGAGCCTCCAGCACAACCAACAAGAATGCATCAAGTGGTTTCTGGATGATAAGTCAACAACAAAACACGTCTTTTCCAGCAGCCATTGTACATCGGTAAAACCAGCGGACCAAGCATGCTGGAGCTCTGCTTGGGTTGCTAAGTAACGTGCGGAACTCTACTGGGGTTGCTAGGTAACGGACCAGCGCCTGTCAAATGTGACTTGATAATATGTAGTTTTTTGAAACTGATCATTTTCCAGACACCAAAAAACATTAACTTATTCCCAAAAAATGTAACTGCCAGTAACAGAAGTCACTTTGGCTTAATATAGGAAATGTCTTGTTCCTCTAGCAGGTTATTTCAATTACTTTTTTTTATCAATATTAAGGAACTATTGACTTAAAACAAACTCCTATATTGTGCAGAAAAGTTACTTGTAAGTTAGTTTTGTCTTATTTCAAGTGTAATAAGATATTTTCACTAGAAACTAGAGGAAAAACACTTGGTTGCGGCGCTGGAAGGTTGAACAACCAAGGTCTTTAAATAAATCTAACCGCTTCACACTGCCCTCTACTTCACACCTACTCGCCATTTCGGCTCCTTTAGCGGCCAAAGGTAGTAACTTTAACCTCTTTTGATGGATCAGATGGTAGAAATCCCAGTTTTTGTCTTCTTAAGGGGTTGAAAATGAAAATATGGCCAAAGATACTAAAGTAAGTGTGAGAGTCAAAGCAAAACAGAGAAAATGTGTAGAGAGATATGAGTGTACCTGCGAGTCCTCCAGGGAGGCCTGACCTTTGACCCAGGTGGTTATGTTTGACATGGAGCTGAAGGTCTGCCTCCTTTCTAAAGTCCCAGGCACAGGCTGTGCAGCGAAACAGCTTCTTCTCGTTGCTGTGCTTCACAGCCAAATGCACCTGGAAGGCAGGGGGACATAAATCCATGGGTTTTCATTTTAAATTTCCACACTTTTCCTTAATCTACTTTCCACCTTTTCATCAAATTTTTAAACATAAATACAAAAGTTGTGCAGCAGATTTACAGAGGAAAGGATTTTATTGCTGGACACTTAAGAAATCCAGTATGAAACTTAGATTAAATGCTTCTCTGGACTTTTCCAGACTGTTTTCCTCAACATGCAATGGTTTAGTTAATTAGTTTTTTTAAAATAGGGACAACGTGCAAAAAACACTAATAAAAGATGCTTTGTCTCAGATTTAGTTTAGCTTGTTTCCATCTTTAGTCCCTGACCAGGTGAGTGAATAAAACATTATCATGAGACACATAATGAAAGTCCCTATAAACCCTAGATATAACCAATGTACAAAGCCATAAAATTACAACAATATCAATAGTACAGACTCTAGTAAAACTCAAGTTGGCAGCAGTGTAACATTGATGGATGCAAGCTGTCGTTAAAAACTAAAGAAGACAACAAACTTTTTCACGTGTGATTTTAATTACATTTCTTTTTTAATAGAAATACAGCAGATGTTTTTTTATAATCTACATCTTTTAGGGCTTGGTTATAGAAAGACGTCAGAGGTTTTATTGTCGTCTCATTAGCGCGAGTCCGGCGGCCATGTTGTGCAGGGCAGTGTGTGGTTTACCTGTATGGAGACCTTGGAGTCGAAGACTTCCTGGCAGAGGGTGCAGTGGTACAGGACGAAGGTGTGCATGTCCAGCAGGTGTTTCTGCAGGTCGTCCACGGACGAGAATTGCTTGTCACAGCTTTCACACACGTACTGCGTCGACGTGGTGGTGTAATGAACCGTGAGGTGCTGCAGCAACGCGTCCTGCGTCTCAAAGTCTTCTTTGTTGCACTGCGGGCAGGACTGGCGCCTCAGCAGCATCTCCAGGTGAGACTTCAGATGCACCTGGAAACCCTCGAAACTGGAAAATCGGAGGTCGCACTGGTTGCAGGGATAATCGCCGTTGCTTCCCAGGGACGGGGTGGAGTCACCGCCCAGGCGGTGGCGTTTGGGAGAGGAGATCTCCACGTCGGACGAGGCTGGGCTGAGGTCAGCCACCTTCGCCTGCCGTTTGTTGTTAGCCAGCGGGATGTTCTTGTGGTTCTCCTTGATGTGCTTGGTGAGCTTGAGGAGTGAGCCGAAGATGGGAGAATTGGTGCAGTAAGGGCAGGAATAGACCTGGACATGGAAAATACATTTTCATAAAAATCAGCATTCACCGTTAGTCCCCAACGGTGAACGCTGCGTCCCTGTGGAGGGAGAGAGGAAATGGAGAAAGATATGCAGAGCAGGAGGAAGATAAACAAGCACACTCCTTAAATCACAATTAGATTTGACGGCTTGTTTTTAGAGCTGTGCAGAAATCTAGAGTCATTTTTAAACTCCATTTTTAAAGCGTCAGTAATCTTTAAAGTGGTTTTGACCTTTAAGTTCAGGCTTTTGTGTTAATTAAGCCACTTGACTCTGAACTATGAATCATTCTCGGTTCTTAACTGAAGGAAGTACAATTTGTTCACATTTCTTTAATTAAACCTATGAAAAAAATAACACCCTTTGATCGACAGAAAAAAGTCATTTAAAAATAACCTACGTCTAAAACTAAATAAACAAATTAACTAATCCACTATTTCAACTAAATTCTTAAAAACGTGCTTATAACAGACAAAGGAGCAGCTAAAGAACTCAAAGTTAGCAAAAAATGCAAATGATAGCAAACTTTAGCCTACATTGCAAAAACACAAAATCTTACAAAGTATTTTTGGTCATTATAAGACAAAACTAACACTTATAGTAAGACTTTTTGGCTTACTAAACCTCACGTTAGCTAATGTAAACTAACATGAGGTTAGCTTACTCGTTAACATAAATAGTCTAACTTAAATTAGCTTAGTTAACTCATGAGTGAGCCAACTCAGCAATGAGCTTTAGCTGAGCTCAAATCAAACATTTACTACAACAGATAAACTCAAATTTGGCATTTCAGTTGCAAAAAATAAAAACAAAAACAAAAAAAAGGAGAATTAAGGTGGTGTCAGGTTTTCTTATGTGTTTAGATTCTCACCTCCATGAAGGACTGAGACGCAGCCTGGAGGACAGGGGACTCCAGTTTGGCCACGGCTCCTCCCGACGCCGTCCCGCCTCCTGTGGCCGAGGTGCAGTGCGTCTGCTGGATGTGCTCCGTCAGCGAGGACTCCGTCAGGAACCCCATGGAGCACTGGTTGCAGAAGAAGGCGTGGTTCCCCTCTGGAGGAGCGACAGGACGTCAGAAATCAGTTTTTAATCATTCAGTACTTTAACTATCAGCAAAACAATACTGCGGAAATTATCTTCCATTCCCATTTTACAAAAGTTAAATTACAAATATTAATCTATTTTATAGGATTGTACAAATGATTTGTATAATTATAAACATTAGATGTGTCAATATGTATAATGTAGGACATGTTTATAGACAGCCATTAGGGGGGTTATTATTCATTTTCTTTCTCATAAATATAATGAAAAACATAAAAATCTTTTATTTCTCTTTTAATTTTAGCTAGCTTTTATGTTTTTTTATTATTTTACTTATTTATTTTTATTCCTAGCTTTGTCGCCTTCCTACTCTTTTTCGAAATGGATATAGAAATTTTGCTATTTTATGTTTGTTTATTATGATTTTCTTCACTTTATTTTTGTCTGACATTTTTATTTGGTTGAAATAAATATTTTATTTCATTTATCTTCTTATAAATACAACAAAAAGCATATAAAAATGTTTAATTTGCCAAAGTCACTCTTTTTTAAAAATTGTAATTAGCTTTTATATGTTTTATCACATTTTATTTTTTATTTTTATTCCTTTTATGACTTATTTTAAGTGGCAGCTATAAATAAACATCATAATTTTTGGGTTGGGGTCAGACTGATGGTCTCAGTAATCCTGACAGATGTTTTAGACCCAGGCCGTTAGCTTCAGAGTGAGCAGACCTAGCGTGGTGGATCCTGCCATGATCCCCCCAGGCAGGCAGTGGGACACTCGGATGTGCTCCTGCAGGGAGTTGATGTCCCCAAACATGTCCGGACAATAGTTGCAGTGAAACGCCGTGACGTTTGTGAACTGGAGCAGAGGGAAAGCCGCTGCCGCCGCCGCCGAGCCGACGCTCCCGCCGCTAGCGCGGTGGGCCTTTCGCACGTGCTCGTTGAGGTTGTAGAGCGTGGGCAGGGTTTCCAGGCAGAGCTGGCAGGTGTGGCTCTGCTGCGGCTTGTCTGCATGGATGGTCTTCAGATGGATCTCTAACACGGCCAGGCTGTGGAAGTCTCTCTTTGAGCAGTACGGGCACGAATACGTCACCTTAGCCCAACTCCCTCCTGAGCCTGCAGAAACAAGAGCTGGACATTAACACTGTCAATCATTGGCAGGAAAACGTTTCTCCGCAATAATTTACTATTAAATTGGGGTTTTTGAAGGTATGCAAGAGCAATCAGTATCTTCCCTGCACTTAATCCTTAAACAGTTTTAGTTGCTAAAACAATCAATCAAGTTTATTTGTACAGCAAATTTCAGCTACAAGGCAGTAGCTGAAATTTGCTGTACATCATAAAAACACAAAAACTCAACGATGGAAACATTACATTTTTCCAAGTGTCATCATTACAGATCAAAATGTTGATTAATGTTTCATTGATCATGTTTCAAAAACTTTAAACAGGTGGGTTTGTTGTTTAGATCTATAAGACCTCAGTGTTTCAGCTGTTTTGCAGTTTTCTGGAAGTTTGTTCCAGATTTGTGGCCCATAGAAGCTGAAAGCTGCTTCTTCATGTTTGGTTCTGGTTCTGGAGATGCAGAGCAGAACCAGAACCAGAAGACCTGAGAGATCTGGAAGGTAACAACAGCAGATCTTTAATATTTTTAAGCCGTTCAGTGATTTATAAACTAACATCAGTATTTTAAAGTCTATTCTCTCAGTGGAAGGACTGTAGAACCAGGTGATGTGCTCTAACCTCCTGGTTTTAGTCAGAACGCCAGCAGCAGCGTTCTGGATCAGATCCAGGTGGAGGGTTGACTTTTACAGGCAGACCTGTGAGGGTGCTGATGGTCCCAGCTGATGGTACCAGTACCTTGATGGGCCAGACTAATCGCTCCGTCCTCCCCGGAGTCTCCGCCCCTCCTGCGGCCTCGTTCGCTGCTCTGGCTGTGCTTCAGGGTGGAGTCAGGGGTGGAGCCTCTCTCCAGGCTGGCGCTGGAGTCCGGCGTGGCCGAGCTCATGGAGGCCACGCTTCCGAGCGGCGGATCGGGACTGGCGGCGCTGTGGTTGGACGAGTCGGGCTGGCGGTGGCTGTCCAGGTGGCAGTAGACGTCCTCCACGGACGGGAACTGCTCCGAGCAGACCGGACATCTGGGAGGGGAAGGAGAACCACAGTGAGGTCCAGCTGCAGCGATTCTCCTATCAGGAGCGTTCAGAAGGCGGAACGCTGCCGTTACTTGTGCTTCCGGTTGGCGTGCTGCGTTTCGATATGCGTGAGCAGCGACGCCTCGTCCAGGAAGATCTCCGGACAGTGGATGCACTGCAGGTCGGCCCGGTCGGACAGCTGTGGGTGTCGGGTCAGGACGTGCTTCTCCAGTTCGTCCGTCTGGCTGAACGTCTCCTCGCAATAATCGCACATGTACAGGTCCTGGTCCAGGTCCACGTCTCCGCCAGTCCCCTTCTTCCCGCCGTCCTTCTCGCTCCGCAGCGCCAGGTGCTCTCTGTTCTTACGGTGAGCCTGCAAGGTCCGAATGTTTTAATGCACTCATCTGTTCGCTTTGGAGGACAACTAGAGATGCACCGACCCAATATTAATACCTATATCGGTTCCAATACCATTGTTTTTCGAAACGGTATCGGTAAATATTAAACCTGAAATATCTGTATCAGAAGTGAAAAGAGTGGATCGGTGCATCTCTAGAGAAAATGAAGCCGTTTACCTGCATGTGGCTCTGCAGTGATGAGGTGGAAGAGAAGCCACGTTTGCACACTGAGCATTTAAATGGTTTGCTGGAGCTGCAGAGGAAAAATCAATAAGCCACAAATCAGACTGAAGAAACAGAAATACACTTTTTTTAGAGGTTTTTAATGCTACTACCTGTGTGTTTTAAGATGGATCTTCAGGTGATCGGAGCGAGAAAACGCAGCTTCACATTCCTGGCAGCTATACTTCTTATCACCTGCAGGCGATAAAACTGAAGATGAGATTCCTGGTGGAACATGTCAGTTTATGTTTAATAAAACAAACAAAAAAAAAGTTAAAGAGGAGATTTTTAATTCTGATTCTTACTGCAAGGCTGCTTAGGCAAAATGCATAAAATCTGACTTATTAACAATCTGTTCAATAATCTGGAGCTCATTCAGGCTCAGTGATTTCTGTAAAGACAGATTTCAGTTCTGGGAAAGTAACAAAAAGAAGTATGTAATGTTCAACAAGTGGTGGAGAATTGAGGTTTAATAAATCTATTCCCAGTAACTCTAATACTTGATTGGATCTTTTCCATATTTGGGCCTCTCAGTCCACCTGATGACGACTCTTCAGCCAATAAGAGAAGAAGGAGTAATGAGCTGCAGAGACGTTTGAACGAACCTGTGTGGAGCTTCACATGGCGGTCTCTGCTCCTCTTGTGTTTAAACAGGCGGCTGCAGAATGTGCACTTGAAAGGCAGCTTGTCGCTGTGGATCTGCTCGTGTCGCTTCAGGTAGCTCAGGCGGCTGAAAGCGGACAGAACCAGGAGTTATTTCAGTTCCTAGCTAACATAAACCTAAACACTGGAACTAAATGTTCCTACTTAATTTTTATAATAGATTTCTATAAATCAATCTTTCCAGTTTTTTTATGATTCCTTTATCTCAGAAATTCACCAAAAATCAACAGATCTAAAGCATAATTTTGAGTTTATTGCTAATTTTCTCCAAAAATAGTCAAAATCATTGCGATTAAGTGATGCTGCCTCCGACCTACAGGTGGCAGTGTTACTTCCACTAACTGCTGCCTCAGCCTAACTTGATGTCAAGTTTTAATTCAAAATCGATTTGGTGAGTGACAAAAGTCAAGCTATTTAAGTTCTTTAAGCTCAAGTTTTTTTTTTTTTTTTTTTTTTTTTTTTTTTTTTTTGGGGAGGAATAAAAGAAAAAAAATTCC